AAATACAGATGGGCGACATAGGCATTTTACCAAGTGCAAGGTCAGTGGTAATAATACAGTAACTCGGCCATAGTGCTATAGGTGGGGTCTCCATATTCAGTTCTGTTAAAAATGGAGGACTGTAGTAGAGGTAAAATAATAGCATGACAGGGAGGTGGGGGAGCCGGGGAAGGATGGGACCTTTTGCAGAATCTAAATCGCTCCTGGTCCAAGCTTCAGAATGACATCGTGACGGCTGTCAGCTCACATGTAAGTGGTGATGAGGAATTCTGTGGCCAGCACAGACTCCCAGAATCTCAGCGCTCACCCAGTTACTTGGCACCCCTTTGGCTTCCCTGCTTCTCAAGATTCCTCTTCCCCCAGAGAAGCTTTACTGAAGGGTTGGGAGAGGGCAGGATGGCTGGGTGAAGAGCGGGAACCAATCACCGACGGCCTTGTAAGCAGACTGTCATCATGACAGCGGAAGGGGTGTTTCAACTCCTCTACAATGGTCATCACAGTTCCCACAACATGCTCTTTTTGTGGGTCTGAGCCAGAGGGTGGGGGGGAAGCCCTCAATTTGAAATACAAGCAAGGCCACGTGGTTACCTGTCCTGTGTTCATTTTCCTTTTCCGTTTTGCATTTCCCCCGGGAACAGATTATTCAAAAGCCAGGTGAGTTGATCAAGTGAAGCACAGCTTGAACTGGGTATAATTCACAGTGTGTGAGGCCTTCAGGACAGACTATCACAGATTCACAAGACTGCCTATATTTCCAGTTGCCCCAGTGCAGAGGGACCAGAACTCATCTATTTTTTAAAGATAACTGAAGAATCAGATTTTGCTTCTCAGCAACTCTGTGCTCCACGGTATCCACTAGATCTTTGACCTAATTCTGCTGCCTCCTATCCCACCTTGCTTCATACAGTAGCGAAGAGATATTCTTTACTATAAATGTTTTAGCTCATAAAATCTATGCCTAGTGACAGCAACGTCTAGCCCAGCTGAAGCATCGGGCAATAAAACCGTCATCAACAACGATCATGTTTGCAGATGCCCTAGGTCTGGAGACATTGCTGGCATACCTGCATGTTTACAAGAAAAGATTATAGGAAGCTTAGGTGTTTCCAGAAGGCATATGTATGTTAGGGGAAAGAATCTTCGAGAAAACCTTAAGGACCAAGATCTTGAAATTCAAGTGGTTGGCTCTCAGCCAGCTTGGTGGTCACCTGACTCAGTGCCTGACTCAGGCACGCCTACTGACTCTGCTCAGGAGCAGAACAGAGTGAGTTGGACATTGGAGGGGGTGGCTACCAATGAAGCATCATCTGAGGGTCACTACAAAAGCTATTTGCCTCAGAACATTGACTCCATTGCCTGTCATTTTAACTGTATGACTCTGGCTCTTGAAGACTGCCAACCTGTGTCTCCTACTAAACGCAACCATCTCCGGGAAGGATCGCACCTGAGGCCATTACTGGTGAAGCCCAGTGCATCACCATTTGGGAGTAAGCTGGAGCACCGGCATGCGGGTAGGGGCAGGGCTGTCGGCACAAAGGATGACATTGGTGAGGAGGTGGAACGTCATCCAGTTTTGCCTTCCTCCCAGCTGAGCCTAGAACTGTTGGAGTTTCGGAGAAATCTGCCATTCTCTAAGTGTTCTAACATGCTTTCAGCTTCCATGCCAAATGTCTTCTGCTGTATAACCTTGTTGCGATCCGGTGCCTCTCTTTCTACCACATGGACCAGAACTAGAAGGATAAGCTTCCCAGGTACCTGTTAGTCTTTATGTAAAATAAAATTGCCGATTTCAAATATTTCTAGTTTGTTTTCGATCACTTAATGTCGCCCTGCTTCTTTTCCGTTATGCCCTGCTGTTAAGTTACGTGAAGTGTTTTGTGTGCTTCCCAAAGTATGGTAAATAAACATCCTTTCTGGGGTCAGAACATATTTTTAATTCTTTACATAAAATAGACACACGGGAAAGTACAAAAAAGCATACGTATATACTTAACAATTAGACGGTGAACACCTATGTCACCGCAAACAGGATCGGGTGATAGCATATTGCTGAATTCCCAGAAACCCGCCGTGACCACAACCAGAGACAACAGCTCTTCCCACTTCCACGAGGATAACTTCCTCGCCATTTTTCCTTTTCAGTCCACCCCCATGTATGTCCCTAAACGGCGCCACTGAGTTTTGCCTCTTCCTGGGATCTATAAATGGGACCACACTGGGCACACTCCTTCATCCTCCACAGTGTGACCTACAGCTGCAGTTTGGTCATCGTCATTGCCGTGGGATAACTTTAATTCATCCTCATACCGGTTGCTATTTGGGTATATTCGAGGCCCTGGCTGCGAGGAACAAGGCTGCTCCATGTACTGCCCATGCTCCCTGGTGCATGGGTTCAAGAGCCCCGCCTGTGTAGATATCGATGGCCGAAAATGCTGGGCCACACAGCACACAGATCTTCAACTTCACTTCGTAAAAGAGTGCAGTGGTTTCTTCCAAAGTGGTTTTTCCCCCCCATTGGCACTCCCATTACTAGTGTTTAAGAAGTTCTGTTGCTCCGCATCCTTACCCACACTTGGTATTGTCAGACTTTTTAGCTTTTGCCAGTGTGGCATTTTGTGCTAGTAATATCTCCTCCTTTTGCTTTAAAAACTTTGTCACTGTGGTTTAAAACCCTGCATGCTAATGAGATTGAGAACCCCTTTATAAGTGTATTGTCCTGAATCCAAGGTCTTTAAATTCTAAATATAAACTCTGAGAGTCTGGACTTCAGTCTTTCGGTGTTAGTCATCACTGAACACCCCCGTCATACTGGTAAGCGTGGGGGAGTAAAAGAAGCTCAATCGTGGTTGGGTGTGGTAGCTCAAGCCTATAATCCCAGCATTTTGGGAGGCTGAGGCGGAAGGACTGCCTGTTTGAGACCAGCCTGGGCAACACGGTGAGACCTCGTCTCTACAGTTAAAAAAAAAAAAAAAATAGCTGGGGCGTGGTAGTGCGTGCCTGTAGTTCTGGCTACTTGGAAGGCTGAGGCAGAAGGATCGCCTGAGCCCCGCAGGTCAAGGCTGTGGTGGCTGGGAGCATGCCACTGCACTCCAGCCTGGGCAACACAATGAGACTCCAACTCCAAAAAAAAAAGAAGTTCAATTGTTAAACAGCCATTTGGAGCTGGGAACCTTATGAACTTTGTCCCATATAATCCTCAAAATAATTTCAGTAGGTTGATTTCATTATCCCCATTTTTCAAATAAAGAAATTGAGCCTCAGAGGTTAAAAAATGTACCCCAAAGCAAACAGACTGCTTATGTCACCTAAGAGCCAGAGCTGAAACTCAAACCACGCTTGGATGCCTTCAGAGCTCAGATAGCCTAAATTCTCTCTAGTAACCATATTTTCTCCTGAGAAATGACCTTTGCAGAAGAAAATAATACTCCATATCTTTTGGTAAGGTCATGGTATTACAAACCATATCAAAAGGATTTCAAAGGTAGGGAGTTAATATGATAATTAAATGACTGCACGAGAAGGTCAGCTTTCCATCCACACTCCGAAATCTAGTTCATTAATATCTAAACAAATAAAGGGCTCTTTGATAGTTGGTGGGCTTTCCCTCATGAGAGTAATCTGCAAGACACTTTAGTCACCTGCTTCATATTTAGCCCATGACAGGCACTTGTGAAATGATTAACACCATACAGCAGAGTTATAGAATATTAAGTGACAGAAATAAAAGTAACAAAAGAAGAGAGCAAGACTAACTCTTCTCTAAGAGACACATTTTTATAAACATAATCAATTTATTAGTGCTCTCAAAAAATTCAAGCAATAGACATTTAAGAAAATAATAATTTAAAACCAGTTAAAGGATAAACATCAAGCAAGGCTCCTAAGAATTTATATGTTATTAATGGTATCTTTTTTCCAACTATAAAGGTCTAATAAAAAGCCTATAAATCCTGCGAGTACAGAAACAATTTTCAAAGAATCAAATTAACCAGAAGCAATGACTCAGATATGATACTGCCTTCAAAAGGAAAGAGACTGAGCGAGACTTCCACATCCCTTCCCAGGGTGCTAAGAATAACTCCCGGGACAGGAGTAGCGTTTTGTGCGTGAATCTTCTCTCCAGTATCTTCGCAAAATGACCTTTGGATGGGATCTGATCCCAAACTCTCTCTGGTCTTGTAGACACACTGGTAGCCTGTACCTTTGTCAAAATAACTTCAAGCAGTCTTGAGTTTGCATCTCGGAATATTTGCCTCCCGTTCATCCCACGCCATAGAAATGAACAGGGCAAACAGTGTTATTATCCACTTCTACATACATCCCACATTTTGTGAGGTTCATTATTTTTCCCTTTGAGACCAATGTTTGCTTGCAAAACGCCAGCACAGTCTGTGCTTTCTAGTTGTCAGTAAATCTCTATCCCCTCCTGTACTACCAATTGGCTACAAAGATTTAAAGGTCCAGTGATCATAGGATTTAAATGATTTTAACCCCTTTAAATTTGAAAACTCTTTAAATCCCATTATCTCTGCAGCCACTGCGAATTTTAAAATCAGCTTGGCCTCTTCTAGTTCTAGGTCTAAGGATTACAGAGTTTTAAAGAGTATAAATGCTTTTCTGAAGTTCTATAAAGAGCTCTCCCCAGCCAGCTGACCCCCAGGAAATAAAGCCAGCCAGTTCTCCAGCTGGCAACTGCTGAGCAGAGTTTCTAAATGCAAAGATATGTATGTTTTGCCACAAACCACTAGGAAAACAGACAGTTGCTTCCTCAACTCCACATGAAGCCAGTGAATCAGAAGATTTCATGTGGAAGGGGTGGCAGATTTTAGACATTTGTCAGTAAATGTCTAAGAGAAAGAAAACAGAAGATGTTGTCAGATACCCAAAGAAGCTCTCCAGGCCAGAGCCAGTATGTTCTGAGTTGGAAGCCATCTTGTTCCTAAAGAGAAACCGTTACCATGGATACCCTCCAAAGGGTAGGTAACCCTCTGAGGTCTTACCTCTTGCGTCCTCACATTTACGTATCCATAGTGAGTTCGAAGGGGTCGCCTGTATGCGTAAGAGAATGGCATCCACTTTGTACCAGGCTGTCCAAAGCAGCTGAGCAGCAGCGGGAAATTCACTTCACTTACAAGGCGCACAACCAGCAGGAACAGGAACGCTGCGATGAAGCTCATAGCAATCACAGACTTTCGCTACAAAACATTAAAAAAGAATGAATGAATGACTTTCAACCAAACACAGTCACAGAGAGAAGTTCCTTCATATCTCTCTCTTTTCCTTTCATGGGGATTGAAGGAATCTGTCATTTAGGATATTTCCCGTGGAGACAGGAAATAATCATCTGGTGTCCAGGTTGCCATGGTGTGCTAGGCAAGCAGAGCAGCTTTCGTGGACTCTTCCGGTCCGTGTCTACCTGTATTCTTTGCACACTTCTATTCAGTTTGTAGAACCCAAGTCAGATACTTCCAACTACAGGAAGCCTCTCCTCATTGCCCAGTCCCCTCCCCACCACCGTCCTTGCACCCCTAGCCTCCCACCCCAGCAGAGTCAAAGCCCTAGCACGCCCATCCTTTACTTGGAAGGCACTTCTACTGGGGTTTGCACTTTGTTTCGCTGCATAATCATTTATGTGACTCTTTCGCCATGTAATTGTGAGTTCCCGAAAAACAGAAATGTACCGTGCCATATGGATCTTGGTATCCTAGGTCCTTCACATGATACCATACCACACTACAGACACTCAACAAACACTGGAGTGAAACTAAAGAATGAATCAATGATAAATGGATGAGTTTTTCACATTCTTGCAGACACCACCTCATTATCACTCATTCTTCTGTTTCTGCATCTAGCATCCTCCAAGAGCAGGGAACTATTGACTGTGCAAAAGATTCAGAAAGCTACTAACAAGAGGAGACAACATTTCACACTAAGCAGTATAAGAACATTCCCCTAAATGTGTTGCCATGGAACAAAAGCAGGGGAACTGCATCTGCTAGAGGCAGAGAAAGCACAGATGTGTCTGAGACGGACCTTGATAAAATGCATGAGTCCTAATTGGCAGGATGTGTGAACAGAGCTTTCTAGGTAGAGAGAATGGAGCAAGGAGACGAGAAAACATGGGCTATTCCTAGCCATAGAGCAGAGCGCCTTACTGGAACACAAAGACGGAGAAAAGACTAGAAGCTCAAACACAAATGACAACTTTGTGGTGAACTTCCTCAGTCACCAAGTTAACATGTCTCTACTGAGTCTGCTATGTGCAGGAACGCCAACTGAGAGGTTTTTGTGTTTATTTTGTTCAAGGGGACAGTTATAAGTTATAATCAAACATCCATGCTTACGATGCTTTGGAGCAGGGAGACAGTGAGGCCGGCGGTGGACAGGTTATCCCAATTGGCTAGGACAGAGGTAAAGAGGGATGGAAACCAGGGCAGAGGCAGAGGGAATAACAAGGTGAAAAAGACGTGAGAGAGACTCTGTGTAGGTGGAAGAGAGCTAGAATACTGATGGGTAGAAGCAGCTGGCTGCAAATTCCCAATGCCTGAGATTTGAGTCTAAGTGACTGCAGGAATACCAGTCATGTCGTGGGGGAACCAGAGTATCAGAGCCGGAACTGATCGAAGGTACCAGTTTTCAGGAACTGGTGGTTCGTTCTTGGTTGTCAAGGAGTCAGGTGGAAAGCCAAGTCCAAAGCAAGAAGGAGCACTGGGAAGGCAGATCTCAAAAGCATCTGCCATGAAGCACAGACACAGTGAAACATTCTTTCATGAAGCTGGGTCCTTGACTTTTCAAACTTAAGGAGAGTCACATAACTTTCTGGGAAAGACTGACACACTTGCTGTGTTTTCAGCTTAGCACTTCCTAATGGAATCAGCTCTTTGCTCTTCACAGAACCAGGGAAGGCTAAAACCCTGAAGCCAGACCCAACTCCTCCCTGGCCCCATGGTCACAGGCTCCCCTACACGGGCAGTGGAACCAATACCCAGGAGTCAGCAACCCCCAATGAAAGTTCTTGTCCTTCCTCAATCCTGGAATCTGTAAAGGCCCCACCCCTCCGTCTGGCCAGCCTAATTTTCCCATCACCCGAGAGTCTCTTGAGCTCTGTCCTCCTCAACACCCCTTATCTCACCACTAACTACCACAGCCTTACCTCACTTAACCTTCTCATCATGAAAAATCATTTTAATTTGCTCCTCTGTGGAATCGTTACGTCCACAACATTGCAATGTGTCAAGGTAACAGCTTAAACGAAGTGATGGATCTTGCGAGTTTAAAGAGACATGGACCAGAACAGATTGTTAAATAAAAGCAGAGTGGCCAGTCACCCATTAAGTAAACAGGTAGGAAATCTTTTTATTATTATTATTATTTTAATAGTCATCTGGTAGCTTGTTGCAAAGCAGCAGCTTGCTTTGAAGCTGACCCAGATGGGATGTGTGCTTTTGCCCACTCAGAGCCAGGCACGGCTCTCTGGTTCTCTTGGTTGCTGAATTGCCTTCAGGGCTGGGGGCCTGAGCACAAAGGCGTGGAGGGCCCTTCTGAGTCCACGGACATACAGCATCCGTGAAAGGCAAATAAATCAACCATTTTGAGAGAAACTTCAAAATGGAACGGAATCACAGTTGCCAAAGCCTGCTCCCTGGCAGTCCACCTCCAGGCCCATGCTCCATCAAAGGGAACCAAATAACGAGCTCACTGATGGTGGAGGGAGCGACTGGAGAGTGGAAGCCGGACCCAACACGCAGATGCTCCCCCAGGGACCGCACTGAGCAGCAGGCAGAGGTATTCCCTCCACCGCCCCGGGCTCAGCCCCATTTCTGTTCACTTCCTGAACCCGATTCTTCATGTTTCTTCACGTTTACGTGTCTCATTTGGCGTGAAAGTGTTCTCTCAGTGCGGGTATAAATCCACCCCCAAACTTCCCTAGAAAAGGTGCAGTTTCAAGCACATCTTGTGCTCCAGATGAAAAGGACACGGAACCCACTATGGATGCACCTTCACGAGAGGGTGACCCTGAACTTAAGCAACAACAATAAAGACCATATATGAGACACTTAGAAGTCCAAATGCAGTGAGAGAGAGAGAGAGAGAGAGCGTGCGCGCGCGTGTGTTTATGGTAGGGACATAGGAGGTAGGGAAGGGAACAGAGTACTGACATATATGATACACAAGAAAGAATTCACACTTCAAGTCACAGTCACTCACTGGGTCTACACTCTGTGTAGAAGTAGCCAGATGCTGAAAAAGCAAAAATAAAACTGTAAAAGGCAGACCACACTTCCAAAGGGTCACAACCTGGTGCAGCTGGCCAGTAAACAGAAGACTACGATCCCGTGCACCAAATGAGACTGGTGGAGGTATGTGCAGGGGGCTGTGGCAGCCCAGAGGAAGGGTGGGTAGCGGGTTGCAGGAGGAACAATACAGGGAATTCTTGCCTGGGGTGGTGGTGTTCCAACAGAGCTCAAGACTGGGGGTCTTGGCAAGATGGGAAGGGTATCTCAGGCAGAGAGAACAGCAGTTTGAAAGGCCATGATTTGGTCAGAAATCTTCAAGTCATTTGGCAAGAAGGCGACATAGATTATCTGATAGGAAATGGTACTAGACAGAGTACAAATAAAAAAATAAAAAATAATCCAAATACATTAAATCGATGCAATTATCTGTCCTATCTACCTTATATTAGGATAATGGAAGGGTAAATGTCTAAAAGTACAATTTCTTATAATTCAAAAATATTCTTCACTTTCCAATCACGTGAAAATGTATCAATCACTTCATTGTATTTGAAATGGCCATTTAACATACCACAATGCCTTGTTTCCAGTGGCTTGACTTACTTTATCAATAAATGTATTCCATCTGGGGGCTTGTTCTCATAACCGTTTAGAGTCCATCAACACTCAGCAAATTAGAAGACTACTTGTTCTCTATCTAATGACTTATGTATGGACGTGATCCTTTCCACCTTCATTAAAGTAGTCAGAACATCCTTTAGCATCAACCGCCACCAGTTAGGTTAGAGAAAACAACAGTAAGTGTGTGTCGGTTTATAATGCATAACACTTGGTTCAACACATCTTTCGTACTGCAAAAACAACAACGACAACAACAAAACAGACATGAATGTGATAAGCAATCATCCCCGTAAGATCAGAAGTGTGACGACTGGATGACACACTGGGTAGCAAACCCAAAGCACAGTTCCGGGCACACAAGGGGCACTCAAGAAACAGAAGCTACCGGTGGATACCAAGCAGCTGTTGTGCACTGGGCAGGCCATGTGAAATGCCTAAGAACTAGAGATATTTTTTTCTCGAATATTCCAAGCAGCTGCAAACTCTTGAGCTATTCAATGTAACGTATCCATACAAGTTCTGAGAGAATGTCACTGTGCCCAAATAGCTTTGATGAACTGCTTTAGGGGATTCTTTCTCCTTCTTTGTTCTTCATTTTGGGCAAGTCTGAAGGGCCCTTTAACAGCTGAGACATTTCGAATTTAATCCCCTCTGCGCTGCAAAAATATGCATCAAAAATGTGGCATTCTGGTCGCTCGCTCTTTAGAGTGGAAATATCATTTATCAGACTTTATAGCAGGAATGCCTATTTCACAATAAAACCCACAGAGAATGCATAACTCAGGGAGAGAACACAACTGCAGAAATTTGGATCTAGCAAACTGGCCAGCGATATTAATATGTGTGTGTTTTTAATCTTTCTACCACAGAATTTGTCTTTAGCCACAGAATAATGTCTTTAACTTTTCATCCAGTCAGTTGCTATTTTTTTGGTGTTCATTTTCATAAATAATAACCAACGGTATAAAGGTTTATTTTTTGTTTAAATAATATTATTAACTATAGACTAAGCAGTTGCTTACCAGGGTAAAATGGCTTTTGTCCATCCTTCTGTCGTTTACCCAATAATAAATATGAACTGTCAACTGTGTTATTTCTGTCAGTGCCCAACCACTTCATACATAGGTGAGTCCCCTGCCCATTGCTGCTCTATGACTTTATCAAATGCTTATTCTTCTCCCCTATAAAAGTTGTGTCATCAGTATAGCTCTACCTTGTGTCATTAACCAAGTTCCAAATCTGGTTCTCCCCGAATCCAATAAAGCTTCCTGCCACTTGCATAAAGATGAAATAGCAAAGCTCAGGGTATATAAATAAACCCTTCATTCACTTTATCTGTTGA